GTCCATTTACCATTTACCATAATAACAGAGATGTGTGAGATCGCGATGAACTGATGTCAGCTTTTTAGGAATTATTATGGGAGCGCACTTTGCGCGCAGTCATGCCAAACCATGCATGACTGTAAGTTAGCCTGCTTGTTTTTATGTTATAACAGTGTGGTTTGTGTGTTAATGCTTTAATAACAAATAATTTATCAGGAGCATTTATGCTGATGTGTATGGTGGCGACACGTAGGCTAACTTGAAAGTATTTGGAGGTACAGAAAAAAAGTATTTTTGCGGGCGGGAGCGGGACAAAACATAAATGTTGTGGGCGGGAGAAAGTAACATAGAAAGTAGTTGAGAACGTCAGTTATAATAATGACCCACGTATTAAAAAATGGTCGGGTTTAAATCGGGCTCGGGCTCATAATTACAGTTAATGTGTAGGGCCGGGCTAGTCTGGGTTTCCCCATACTGCCTTCCCGCAGCGCGATTTTATTCACGCTGAAAGGCGGTATGGATTCCATGGACCAAATTTTCGCCTCATTTAGGGAACCAATCACCGAACGGGGAGGGAGCAGCAAGACGATGACGACGTCTATGCGACACACCGAAGCAGTTTGTTTATACATATGGATCAAACATGGCAGTAGACGCGAAGTTACCTTTCGATGCAGCCTTACGGCCGTTTCACACATGGTTTCACACCGCAAGCGTGAGCGGCATTTGAGCAGCGCGTCAGCGTAACATCGTCACTGCAGCTGCAGACGCGCGAGAGTATTCACACTGGAAGCGTTTGTAGACAGTGTCACAGCAGCGGCTCCAAAGCTACATATCGTTAGCCTCATAGCATAATTGCTTAAGTCATTTTGTGTTTTTTTCTTGTTTTCCAAAGACATTGAAATATGACTTCGGCATTATATATAAGCGAGCAATTCTTTACAAAGACAACTATACATTTGTTTTTAGAAGTTGGTCATTTTATAACATTGATAGTCTTGAAAGTTTGTAATGGGGAGGTGTACAACATTCGCATATAAGTTAAATGTAATACAACAAAACAACCCAGAAAATGGCTCCAATCTATTAGTTTCAGTCATACTTTCGATGTTTACAAGACCGCAACTCAAAAACTAAACACACAAATAAACCACACACTCGGGTTTGATTTGGGTTGTGCTAGCCTGTAGCTGTCTGTGTGTTAACGTTACATAAACTAACGTTTATATATATTTTCTGGCTAGTTTACTTTAGTTTTTTATTTATTTATATAATACACAACTTTCACCCAAACTGAATAATTAAAAACAAGTTTTTACCGGGTAAATCTTCTATAAATATTTTAGAGTCTTTATTTTCTTTTATTTGCCTACTCAAGTTCTTGTTAAAACTTTTTGTGGCAATTTTTGTGTGAAATCACATTTATTTTTGTCCATCAAAAGTGTGCTTTCACTTTAATTTAGCGTGAGCAATGCAGCAAAAAACAGATTCGAAACCCCCGCTTCACTGCTGCTCACGCGCCGCTCACGCGCTGCTCCCGGTGTGAATGCACTCATTGCTTAATATGCACGCCGAAAAAAATACGTGCCGCTCACGCATGCGGTGTGAAACGGCCATTAGATACACGCCATCGTGTAGGCTACACATAAATCTCTGACCCATCGGCCATCGTCGTCTCCCTCGTCTAATTTCTGTCGCTCTACATACGTCATCTGGTATAATCGAAACGATTGGCTATGAGCTACGTACAGGCGCATTTGATAGACATTCTTAGCACCCAATAAACGGCTCTGGGCATTCGTAAACCACGCCTCAAATACGAGAAAATGAACATGTGGTTCCCAGACCCAAGTCTCAACGAGAATTGGGTCTTGCGTTAGCCAGGCTAGGGCCGGGCTGGGCTCGGACACAACATGCTCGGGTAGGGTCGGGCTTGCATACCCGAGATCTACCTCGTCCTCGGGTATGCTAACACTTACAGGCACGAATCAGTCGTTTGCCCTTGGGGAACTTCTGGAGCCTCTCCCCCGTTTTTTATGTATTCATACATCCCGCACAAACACAATAGTAGGTCTCCAATATAACTGCTAACCTACTTGCCGTTTAGACTAACGGTAACTCTAGGCTTGGAGCATAGACCAGGCATAGAGAGTAAAAGCTTGGAGTCCCTTTTATGACGTCACGCCCAGCCTAGTGGAAGGGAGGGGGCGTGCTTAAAACCACTGTAAAACGTACCAACTTTTCATTTTATGCAGCATTTCGGTATAAAAAAAACATAAAAAACAATTGTGGGCGGTTCTTACCTTTATGTTTAGTTAGCACATTGCATTATCTTCGTGAAAAATTTAACCTGCAATTTACACTTTAAGGTAAAATTGATCAACCAATCAGATTCATCACGTGGCGGCATCCAGATTGAGCGCCACTTTTTGAGTTTCTCAGCCATCAACGTCTCTACTTCATTTCACAGAGGTAAGTGCAATTTCTTTCAAATGTATAATTTCGAATGTGTGTCCGTACCCAGTGTAATGTATTAATTTTAATTTCACGATGAATTCAATAATAACGCTAACATAAACTGCTCATATAAGGTGCAAATCGCCCTTTCCTATCGGACAAGGGCGCCCGGCCGCGGTTGTTCCATCCGACCGACCCGATGTGTGTTTTCCCCGTGATTGTGTCGTCGGATCTTTTCTCCCTTTGATTTATTTCACTTTTACCCTGCACTCGTTTAGCAGACGTTCAAAATAATCCTTTTGCAAAAGAGAAGCAAAACACCTTCGCGGATGGGACCAAATACCAATAAATAATGTAAATTTAATTCAATTGCTGTATTTAAAAAATAGTTTTAATACAATATCTAATATAGGCTAACAGACAAACTGTAATCTATGTAATAATAATGAAATATCTTGTGTTGACCCAGGGATATCATATTTTTATGTTGACTCAGGGACATCATTTCTTGTAACTCATCTAATATAAGATAAACAGTAGGCCTAATAATCAATCAATGTATTTAATTAATCATCATCATATTATAATACAATATCTAATATAAGACAAACTGTAATCTATGTAATAATAATGAAATATCTTGTGTTGACCCAGGGACATCATATTTTTATGTTTACCCAGGGGACATCATTCCTTATAAATCATCTAATATAAGATAAACAGTAGGCCTAATCAATCACTGTATTTAAATAATCATAATAATAATAATTATTCAATATCTAATAAAAGACAAACAGTAATCTACCACTATGTAATAATAATGAAATATCTTGTGTTGACCCAGGGACATCATTCTTTATTAATCATCTTATATGAGACAAAAGTAATCTATAACTGTATTTAAATAATCATAATAATACAATATATTTTGTTGACCCAGGGGCATCATTCCTCTTAGCTCATTCAATAAATTCTCTCTCATTTGAAGATGATCACAGGATGAAACCAATTTAAATGTCTTAATGTTAAAGGAGCTGTATGTAAGAAATTTATTTCAATTAATCATAAAATGGCCCTGAAATATCACTAGACATTAAGAAATCATGTACATTTCAAATACTTATATCACTGACAACAGTAGTCTGGCCAGGATATTGTCATTTAAAAAGTGCAGTTGCAGCCCTCAACTGATGTTGATGTTGTCATGTTGTGTTTTGGTCTGATGCTCCACCCTCCACCTATCTACCAATCACAAAGTCAGTAGTGTTGCGGCATCCGGGTTGCCAGCTCTGCTCTAGTTACCACAGCTGCAGCTCGTCACGTTCCTGCTGGATCCTGCAGCCGATCTGGCAACCTCGAGTCAGGGAGGAGGGGGAGGGGATACACCACTCTACAGTAATTTGACAGTGATTGCAGTACTAGTTTTGGCCACAATCTTACATACAGCTCCTTTAACATTAATTTTCTTCTTTGGACAGATCCACTATGGAGAAAGATAAAGGGTAAATATTCATAAAAATGTTGTCTGTCTGTATATAAACCAGAAATTTGACTTATTGTAACATTTGTACAAAAATGTGTTTTTGTATTTCTTCCTTTGAGGTCCATCCGTGTGCCCTTATTGACGATAGAATCACTTGCAACACTAGACGATGGGATGTGGGTGAATGACATTGTCATGGACATTGCATTGAGGTAATTCTTTTGAAGCATCATAAAACTGCAAATCATAATATTCTTAGCAATAATTTTCTACTAAATCTTTCTAGGTCTGTTCATGAAGAATTAGGAACTCATATAAAGCGGAAATCTTTGATCTACCCAGTGCATTTTTACACTAAATTAAAAACCAGGTAGGAGTTACTGATATGTTAAGATATGTCATGTAGTGTCATAGTTATATATTGAATCCTATTATTGAACAATTATTGTAACCACATGATTTCTCATGTCATCTATGCAATTTTAGTGGATTTTCTGGTGTCATCAACTGGACAAAACATGAGGACATTTTTCGAAAGGACTATCTTTTGATAGTCGAGAATGTTCTTAGGTGAGCACTTTACTTTATTGGTTGTTATGACTTATTACACAGCTCTGTGGAAAGCTCAAATATGACTGGTGAGTCGCACCTTCTAACAGTCTGTTGATTCTGAGTTACAACACATATTGGGGTTTATTATGCAATAACCAGTCTAATGTACTTTTTATGTTACATATTAGATGTCCATTTAAACATTTATAATTAAGGAAGTGATTGTGCCCCTTAAAATAGTAGCACTGTGAATGGCACATATGCAATTATCAAAACTTATTTTACTTATATGGTCTATTAATGTTTTTCAGAAATCACTAGAGACTCATGATTGTGTCCTTCAAAAGGGGACGAAAATTGGTGCAAAAAGGAGGTAAATATGTATTTTGCATTTTAATAAATAAATTTGGGTAATTACATTTGGCGCTGTTGCCCCTACAATGAAATAACGCTGCTACTTTTGTCCATTACCAAACATTTATATTATTAGATTTCTCTGTGTTAAATCAGTTGTGTTGTACATTTACCTTGCATTTTAATGCTAGACTCCCAGTCTGAGCAAGTGAGTGACAGCATGGATGTGTTCCAAAACATTCGAAGGTTGGGTTTTTTTGTATATTGGCCCATATTTTTATGTAAATACAGCACATTTATTTACATTTATGCATTTGGCAGACGCTTTTATCCAAAGCGACTTACATTGCATTTCAAGGTACACATTCTTATCAGTTCTTGCTTTCCCTTGGAAACGAACCCATGACCTTGGCGTTGCAAGCGCCAATGCTCTACTGTTTAAGCTAAAGGAAAGCTCCAAAAAAAGCACAAAATAAAATTTTTTACTCATCCTCAATTTGTTTTAAACATGCATGACTTTTTTTATGGAACACAAAGGAGGACTTTGAAATGATTACCTGGGATTAGTCATTATCATACAGTGACGATTATAAGTACTGTATGTTAGCTTTTGAACTCATGTAGCATGAAAAAGGACCACAGGATTAGTTGCAAAGTAGTACTCACATTTATTATATTCCAAGGCTACTTAAACCATACACTAAGTTTGTAACAGTAAGACAGTAAAATTCAAATTCAATTTGATATCAGCAAACTTGAAAAGTGGATAATGGTTAGCGAACAATAATCGTAGTTTCCTAGCTGTCTTCTGTTTGGCTAAACAAGATGTAGCTAATTTCAGGACTGTTCATTCTCTATATATAAAGCTTGCAATAATTATGTTTTATAATGACAATTGTCATTGACTGTAAACTGACTGAGAAGGACAATCCTTAAAGATGACAATCTTCTCGTGTTTTGTTCGGTAGAAGAAAGTCATTTGAAGTACATGAGGGTGATTCTCATTTTAGGGTAACCTATCCCTTTAAGACATGAGTAAGCATAATGTTACAAAACAAGGACAAGATATGTTTTAACAAAAAGTTCAATAAAATGTGGCTGTCATAAACATTTAATAAGGTTGTTTTTGTCTTTCAGTTACTTAACAGAAATGTGGAAAAACACAAGAAAAAAGCCCCGTATATTTTCTGCAGATTCTATGCCAGCGCTGAAAGTGTGGGTACCCGGACAGCAAGGAAACACCTCTGAATGCGGCATATTTGTGTTACTCTATGCAGAGAACTTTCTGAAGGTAAGTACAATGGTTTCATAGATGTTGGCTAGCACTTTTTTTTTTTTTTTTTTTCTATCATGACACTGTGCATGTCACTAAAGAAAACAATTAATTTATGTTTCAATTCCTTCCTCTAGGATCCTTCCTCTAGGATCCTTCCAAAGAACTAATCGATGAGCTTGACTGTACATCCTGGTTTACACTGGCCGATGCATTTTCAAGGCGTGCACAGATCAGGGGCAAAATGCGAAGTAGTTTAGAAGGTGTTTTTGTTTATTTTTTAATTAATATTATACCCTGATGAAATGAATTCAGTTAAAGTGTTTATCTTATATTGGATGATTAATAAGGAATGATGTCCCTAGGTCAACATAAAAATATGATGTCCCTGGGTCAACACAAGATACTTCATTATTATTACATAGATTACAGTTTGTCTTATATTAGATATTGTATTATTTATTATTATGATGATTATTTAAATACATTGATTGAGTAGGCCTACTGTTTATCCTATATTAGATGAGTTATAAGGAATGATGTCCCTGAGTCAACATAAAAATATGATATCCCTGTGTCAACACAGGATATTTCATACATAGATTACAGTTTGTCTGATATTAGATATTGTATTATTATTATTATTTAAATACAGTGATTGACTACTGTTTATCTTATATTATATGAATTATAAGGAATGATGTCCCTGGGTCAACATAAGAATATGATGTCCCTGGGTCAACACAAGATATTTAATTATTATTACATAGATTACAGTTTGTCTTATATTAGATATTGTATTATTATATGATGATGATTATTTAAATACATTGATTGATTATTAGGCCTACTGTTTATCTTATATTAGATGAGTTATAAGAAATTATGTCCCTGGGTCAACATAAAAATATGATATCCCTGGGTCAACACAAGATATTTCATTATTATTACATAGATTACAGTTTATCTTATATTAGATGAGTTATAAAAAATGATGTCCCTGGGTCAACATAAAAATATGATATCCCTGGGTCAACACAAGATATTTCATTATTATTACATAGATTACAGTTTGTCTGTTAGCCTATATTAGATATTGTATTAAAACTATTTTTTAAATACAGCAATTGAATTCAATATACATTATTTATTGGTATTTGGTCCCATCCGCGAAGGTGTTTTGCTTCTCTTTTGCAAAAGGATTATTTTGAACGTCTGCTAAACGAGTGCAGGGTAAAAGTGAAATAAATCAACGGGAGAAAAGATCCAACGACACGATCACGGGGAAAACACACATCGGGTCGGATGGAGAAACAACCGCGGCCGGGCGCCCTTGTCCGATAGGAAAGGGCGATTTGCACCTTATATGAGCAGTTTATGTTAGCGTTATTATTGAATTCATCGTGAAATTAAAATTAATACATTACACTAGGTATGGACACACATTTGAAATTATACATAAAGAAATTGCACTTACCTCTATGAAATGAAGTAGAGACGTTGATGGCTGAGAAACTCAAAAAGTGGCGCTCAATCTGGATGCCGCCACGTGATGAATCTGATTGGTTGATCAATTTTACCTTAAAGTGTAAATTGCAGGTTAAATTTTTCACGAAGATAATGCAATGTGCTTACTAAACATAAAGGTAAGAACCGCCCACAATTGTTTTTTATGTTTTTTTTATACCAAAATGCTGCATAATATGAAAAGTTGGTACATTTTACAGTGGTTTTAAGCACGCCCCCTCCCTTCCACTAGGCTGGGCGTGACGTCATAAAAGGGACTCCAAGCTTTTACTCTCTATGCCTGGTCTATGCTCCAAGCCTAGAGTTACCGTTAGTCTAAACGGCAAGTAGGCTAGCAGTTATATTGGAGACCTACTATTGTGTTTGTGCGGGATGTACGAATACATAAAAAAACGGGGGAGAGGCTCCAGAAGTTCCCCAAGGGCAAACGACTGATTCGTGCCTGTAAGTGTTAGCATACCCGAGGACGAGGTAGATCTCGGGTATGCAAGCCCGACCCTACCCGAGCATGTTGTGTCCGAGCCCAGCCCGGCCCTACACATTAACTGTAATTATGAGCCCGAGCCCGATTTAAACCCGACCATTTTTTAATACGTGGGTCATTATTATAACTGACGTTCTCAACTACTTTCTATGTTACTTTCTCCCGCCCGCAACATTTATGTTTTGTCCCGCTCCCGCCCGCAAAAAGACTTTTTTTTCTGTACCTCCAAATACTTTCAAGTTAGCCTACGTGTCGCCACCATACACATCAGCATAAATGCTCCTGATAAATTATTTGTTATTAAAGCATTAACACACAAACCACACTGTTATAACATTAAAAAAAAGCAGGCTAACTTACAGTCATGCATGGTTTGGCATGACTGCGCGCAAAGTGCGCTCCCATAATAATTCTTAAAAAGCTGACATCAGTTCATCGCGATCTCACACATCTCTGTTATTATCAATGAATCTTTCATAATATCTACACTTTGTTTGTTATAATTCGAGGATTTGCCAGCATACAGAATTCATCACTGAACAAAAAGTCTGTTTTGAGCGGTGAGGGAAGTCTATCGTAAATGCTTCTGATTGGCCATTGCGTTCCTAGAAATCATCACATATGTCTGTGATTGGCTACATCGCTCAACGCTGCAAACATGTTATAAATAGAAACTCTGGCCTGTAAATCGTTTCTATTTTGTTTCAGTTGTTCTTGTTGCTTTTCTGCAACAGATGAATAAAAATGTATTAGTTTTTCATAGATATTTCTAGTTTGCGGGAGTACCGCGAATCGTTTTATTCTCCCTCAACCCGAACACACATAGTTACCACCCGCGCTCCCTCTTATGACGTCATCACCCAGTTACTGTAAGAAACAGGCTACCTTTGAAGAAACCCCAATAAATGTTATTTTAACGCATTTTAAGACAGAAAATTTTAAATATATACATATTGAGCACTTTAATTTACACATTAATTGGTTGTGGTGGTTAACCTGCAATTTACACTTTAAGCACCTCCCTTGTTGACCCAGGAACGCGTCTAACTCGGCAGAATCAGGTCGTGCCCTTAACCCAGAGCTACTCATTTTACCTGATAGGCTCTGATAAGAGTGTGGACGGCCAAATGATCCTCCACCACCTTCTGTGACATGGCAGGTGTCTGAGACTGACCTCTTCCCTGGAGCAGCGCAGACAGACGCTTCTCTCCAGACTCCTCTGAACTGCTGGCGTTACGGAAGTATGCATCCCAGGACTGTTGCAAATATAACAAGAACATATTTCAAAAGGTCAAATATTCTTATTTATTACTTCAAAGCAAAAAGTTTAAGGATTTTCTGATGTTAAAAAGATTATTTATTCTCTCTCTATTGTCATTTCAATTCCATATGACTGTGGAACTCAAAAGGAGACATTCAGCAAAATGTGTAATCTGTTTATTTTCTCCAGTCCCCATCCACTTTTATTGTACAAAGCAGCTTACATGAGAAAGCTGAAAAATTACATGAGTATTTAAATGATTGATAAGGTTATGAGTTTGATTCTCAGGGACTGCATGAACTGATCAAATTCAGAGCAGCGCCATGATGACAGGTATGAATGCGAGGTTGTGAGGGATAGACTTACCGTGTCTTCAATGGCATCAACTGTATAAAGCTCCTATATCACTCATAATTTTCCGCAGCTCATAATTTCTGGAGTTTATTGTCTACTGAAAGTCCTTGGGAAAATATTTTTGCAGCGTTTTGTCAGCAGAACAATACAAAAACACATTAAATAACAGTTTAGAAGAGATTTATGTCTATCCCTCAAAGCCTCGCTTTCATTGCCGTTAAAAATAAAAGATGGCGCTGCTGTAAATAAGGTCTGTAGCCAGAATGCAGTGTAAGTTGCTATGGATAAAAGCGTCTGCCAAATGCATAAATGTAAATCAGGGTTATTATAGTTAACAAACTAAAACCATAAAAAAAACATTGTCATTACTTGAAATAAGATAAACATTAACTGAAAAAATTTGCCAACATCTCATTTTCGTTTAGTTTAAGTACGCCTACTAAAAATAACAAACTAAATATCTAAAACTTAATTAAAAATATATTATATAGATATATAAAAAAACAAAACAAAATTAATTTTAACTAAAATTAAATCTAACTTACTAAAATATTGCAAAAAAGGACAAAAATGACCAAATATTAACAAAAACTATAGAATGTCAGGTGTGGTGGAGGTGAAAGGAGCGAGGACTCAGGTGCAGAGATAATGGGTTCTTTAATGATAATAACAAAACAAAAATACAAACAAAACTACCCCGTAGGGGAAAACAAATGACTTGACTGACTTGAAACAAGGGGTAACACACCAGGTACATGGAACAACGAAACAGCACAGGACTGCAAACACAGGGAGAATAAATAGGGAGACCAAACAAAGGAGGTAACGAGGGAGGACAGGTGGGGCAAATGAATCAATCAGGTAATGAGGGAGGACAGGTGGGGCAAACAAATCAATAATCAGGTAACAAGATGGGAGGGGCTAGACAATCAACAGGAGAGCACATGGCACAAGGAAACATACATGACAAGCCATGTGCTCACACCAAACGTGACTTGAACACAAGCACATGGCCAGTAAAACCAATCACCAGCCATGTGCTCACACAAAACGAGACATGAACACGCAGCTAATGAAAACACTCATAAGCCACGTGTTCACACAAAACATGACAAGATGAAAGCACACAGCTAGTGTAAAACACAAGCTGTGTGCTACACAGCACAATACACGAAAGCACATGAAACAAGGCACAGACAAGATAAAACAGGTGTGTCAGGGCTCTGTCACAAAACCAAGAGATAGACTAGACAGAAGTGACATAACCCTTACACTACCCCTCCTCTAAAAGACGCCACTTGGCGTAAGGAGGAACACCAAAAAAAAAAAAACAGACAGGAACATGACAACTCACCAACAAACAAGACGGGTAGATCAAAACACAGAGACAAAGTGGGGAGGGAGGGAGGGGAGCCAAGACAGAGCCAGCATGACAGTCCATGAAGTCTCTATAAGGGACCAGGGAGGGACCAGGGAGGGACCAGGGAGGGACGGGAGGGTTGAGCCAGGGAGGCTCAAGCGGGTCTGAAGTCCCAGCAGAGGGCCATGGCGGGACAGACCAGGCAGGCTCCAGCGGATCAGGGATCCCAGCAGAGGGCCATGGCGGGACAGACCAGGCAGGCTCCAGCGGA